CTGTAAACTGCTTAGAGAGGGCTGAAAGCCCTATGAAGTGGTATATAAGTCTAACTGCTATTGCTATTGCTAAAACTGGAGCTCAGGGGGACCTGTATCAAAGACCAAGGCAGTTTGTTTGATAAGGAAAAGGGGAAAAAAAAAGTTGGGGAGGCCAAGTGGAGCTTGGACTTCTTGACAAAAATTTCATTTAAGATGGGTAAACAGATGAAGAAATTTAAAGTTGTACAAATGCTAAAAAAAAAAAAAAAAAGTTCATACAATGTGTTGCAAAGAATGAATGTGCATCGAGTGAAATGAAAATTACTGTTTATGTTTGTGCTGGCTTTGTATATGGAAATAAAAGTCAGGGGACTATAAAATTAAATTGAATGAACTAATGTAAGGGAACAGAATTTGCATCACAAAATCATAAAACATATTTTGTCCCTTGCCCTCCATTGCTCCTCTCTGTAGTCAGCAATCACATGTTATATTGGAATGAGGCCACACTACTCTGTAGCTAATTAGATATAGTTACTCTTCAGTGTTATGGAAGGAAAGTTAAAGGAATTGCAGTTCAATGGATTTCACAGGTTGCTCTGCAAAAAAAGAGAAAATTAGGGAATTTAATGAGCGATGAAGTTTCAATCCATTTTTAATCACATGGCAGAAATTTGACATGAAAGGAAAAATTGACATGAAAAGCTTTGTTTTGCAAACATAACACAAATAAAAAGGCATTCTAATCAATCATTTGAACAGAATGCAAGTAATTTAGTCTGGGAAACTAAATCAGCTTGTTAATGACAGTTGCACTATATAACATGAAAAAAACAAACTTTCTTTTTTAAAAAAGAATCCTGTGCTTTTCTCTCATAAGAATTATGTCTCTCTCCAATTTATCTGTTGATTGTTGTAAGAGGCTAATGCAGGAGTAGATAGTTTAGTATCTCCTTCCCACTGAGTAATATGAATTTTAATTCTTACTATGTCTTATGATTGAGCAATTCAAAATGACATCAGTTTTTTAATTGATTTTTTTAATTAAATTTTATTGAAATTTAGTGTTTGATAAGAGTATCACAGATGAACCTCCTCAGTATACTATGTGAAGGAGAAAAACTGGGCTGTGCATTTTTAAAATGATTTTTCTTTCCTTCTAGGGAATTTGGCCGTTGGAAGGTAAACAACTTAGCTGTTGAGAGAAAGAATTTTCTTGGCTCTCCGTTGCCTCTCGCCCCTGAGTTTTTCCGAAATGTAAGGCTACTAGGACGTAGGCCGACCCTTCAACAGATCACGGAAAACCTTATCAAGAAGTATGGGACCCACTTCCTCCTGTCAGCTACCCTGGGAGGTAAGATCATTTTCATTAAACGAGGTGCACCTCAGTGGTGGGTTTCAAAAATTGTTCGAGCGTACTCTGTGGGTGTGGCCTTCTTTGTGGGAGTGGCTTGCCACCCATGTGACCGGATGGGAGTGGCTTGCCGCCCATGTGACCGGATATGAAGATGCCGACGACACTTGTCAGAACCACCTTAAATTACCTCTCACACAGCACTGGCATGCATAAGAATAGGATGTAAACTTGTTTTTTAAAAGGCATCTTTGGTTTGCGTTAAAACAACTTCAACACACGCAATGTTCTGATTGCACCACAAACGCAGTAGTCATCCTTACCTTTCACAGAGGCACTGAGTTTTATAAATAGGAGCATGATAGTGTAGAATAATCACATCCAAGGACCAGTGGTGGGTTTCAAAAAAATGTTTGGAACCTCTTCTGTAGGTGTGGCCTGCTTTCCGGGTCCACTGGTGGAACCTCTTCTAACCGGTTCGGTAGATTTGACGAACCGGTTCTATCAAATAGGTGCAAACTGGTAGGAACCCACCTCTGGTGCACCTTCAGCTCAGGTACTGAAACTTTACTAGAAACATACAGATGGTCCTCATTATCTTCAGCCTCATTATCCGGTGTTTTGCCAATCTGCAGTTAGTAAATACAGCTCAGGCTTTTTTATCTGCAGTCAAGCATTTTGTGTAGCCATGGTTTAGGGTACGTGCTTCTAATGGATCATTTTCTGTGACTCTGGAACATAAATTCCCAAATTCCATAAAGTTATTCTCTAATAAGAGGAGTTATCTGCAATTTTAGGCTGAAAATTTCTGCCAATAAAGACCGTGGGGTGGTGTATGCATTTTTAAAAAAAGACATCAAAACTCTGACGGGGTTATATGTCTTTTTCATTTTAAATAAAAGTCAAGATGATGGTGATGATTGATGATGAAGATTGATGATAATGATGCTTAGTGGGGAAGAGAATTTGTTGGTAGGGTTAGAAATTGCAAACCAGAGCAAATACAAGAGATACATTAAGTATGTTCCCAAATTTCAGTTAAATGCACACTTATATGGGAGTAAAAAAGTAAAGACTTTAAATCCTACTTTTTAATTTAGCAGTATTTTACAATGAATGTCTTAGAAGGAGGAGGCAAGGGAGGGAGGGAGGGAGGGAGAAGAAAGGCCAATGTGACTTGAGTTGGAACTTTATTGTCATTGCACAGCAGGTAACAAAGAGAGTGTTTCTCTGTCTGCTGGAAGCCAAATATATGCTTGTTTCCACACTGATTATTTTGATGTATTCTAATCTGTTTTCTGTTCCTGGGCTTGGTATAAAGTGATTGATGATTGTTGTGTCAAGAGGAGGAGGCAATACTACCTGATAATTTCCTTGGAGGTTTTTCCTTTTTTTCCCCACTGATTGTGGGATCCAAAGTTTGCTTTGGAGATGCTGTGCTCCATATTTTTTTCCCACACTTCCATTTTTCCATTTCAGAAGTTTGCACTGGAAATATTATCATAATGCTCTGATGAGCTGCAGGATCTATTTCTCTTTTTGATTTATATGGCATTGCTGAGTGAGGTCATTTAAGGATATGGTAAATGATTTATCACTTTGTTTCTCAGGTTCCGTATCACTATACATTCTTGTGAACTTCAGTGGAATCATAGAAATATTGTACCAGCACCTGAAATAATTACCGTTTGGATGAGAGCTAGTAAAATTAACCCACTCCAGACAAAGCAGAGGTATTCTTGGAGAGCTAACATATATCTGAAACTTCTGATGGACATGATTTATTTTTCAAATCTGCAAACTAGATTTGCAGTTCAGGAACAGAGAATGCCATCTATTTTGGTGGGCGGGATATCTTTTATATTTCAGTAACCAAGGACTGATAGATGTTTGAGAAAATTTGGTGGAATTATGCAGCAGGAAAGATCATTGGTGCTCAAAATTGTTTATGTGGGCAGCTATCCCCCCTCGAAATGACAATGGAGACAAAAAGTGTTTTATAATTCGGTGAGTGTTTATATGAAAGATAATTACTGAGATTGAATAGCCTTTTGTTGCCCAACTTGGCAAACAACTTTATTAAAAATAAACTGCTCATCTTTGATTCATTTTCTGCAGGCAACATGTCAACTGTATGTGGAGAAAATGACAGTCCCTTCATCCTGTTTTGGAAGCAACATGAATTTCACCACATTATTGATTTTATAGAAGTCCTTTCTAGATGTAACTTCCTTTTGTCATTTAAGATTACAACATTTTAAGCTTCATCCATTTTTTTGTAGCAAAGTACCAAATGGATGGAAAATGAAAGCATTCCACCTATATTTATGTCCTTTACAGTGTGTGGGCCCATTGTGCCATGAGTGACAGTTCAATTGTACAAAATTTATAAAATACTGATAAAAACATGGTACGTTTTTTCAGTTTCAGGCTAAGAATAAGTTGTGCCAGAAATTGCCCATTTTGAAGTGCTATACAACCAGTCTCTGGCTGAAATGCTGTGCCTATGAAGTTTGATGCATGTACAATTTTACTAAAAGTGTTTTGTTCAAGTTGGACTGAAAACTATTGAAACATTTCTTGCAAGAATATACCACCAACCCTTCTGCATGATTCAGAAAGGCATTTTTGGGAGAAATATATCGCCAATTCAAAATCGTAGTTGAGTCAATTTTTATTTCCTCATGAAACACGGAAATGCCGGTTTTGCATTTCTTGAGGAAACATTTTGATGCAAGAAACATGCTGATGCATGTTCTCCTGATCCTGTGGTTGCCCTCTTCGGGTCCTTGATATCTGACAAAGGCCTTTTAAAAAAGTTTTCTATCTTGGTCTTTCCCACCAAAACAAAGTTATTCCAAAGCAAGGAGTATTTTGAGGACTAAGTTAAAGAATGACTGAATCTCTGCGATTCAGATATTCAAAGTTGTGATGGGTCGGACACCTCTTGTTATCAGGTTACAAGAAATGGATTAAAAAAGAGGAATTAATTTTATTTTTTAATTAAAAATTAAGTTTACATAAAGGGAAAATGTTTCAAAGTTCTTATACCTAAAAATTATTTGTATGATCCTAGGCCTAAAATGAAACGATTTCCATGTTATAAAAGGTAACATTTCCATACATTATTTTCTACCAGCTCCTCGGGTTATCTAAACATCTGTTATGATCACACAATCCTCTCAGAAGGTCAACTTGTCATGTGAATATTGAAAGAAAAAAATCAATATTCACCTAACACAATTCCAGTGCTCTTTTACCCTGTGGGTGACGTCTGATATGCATTTAGCATTTGAAGACACTTTAACGCCTAATAAATATTAATGTGTATTTCTTAATGGAAACTATGTCAAAAAGGGAGAATTGGGAAGCTGGTCTCTTGCAGACATCAAATGTGAAAGGAAACATTACATTCAATTGTGCCTGACAATTGAAGCCTTATAAAAAATGCTTAAGAATGCAACATTCATATGTGGCTGTCAGATAGACAAAGAATCCTGACTTATGTAGGCATCTGTCTAAAACATATAGAATTTTTTTTTAAATTACACAATTTCTATACTATAGTAGTCTCTCAACTATGTATGAGATATTAGAAATGCATGTTTATATATGCATTACATATATCCTATAATATTTTGCCTATTGGCTTCATACTAACTCACATATAATTCAGTGGACTGAATTTTGAAATGACGTGACCAATTTGGTATCATTAAGTATGCATGTCTTTAATTTGACATCCTTTCAAAGTTATTATAGCTATGGTTACTACTACTAGATGAAATTATTTAAAATAATGTAGAAAATAACTGTTGAGCCTGAGGAAGAGGTCAAATGCATCACCAGTCTTGAGCTTCTACTCAGAGATCTACTGTAAGTCTAGTCCACCTTGAATTCCATTGATTCTTATCTACTACCAATTTGCTTTGACTGTTAGAAGTTCAGATTCTTGCAGAGATCTTAAGCTTAAATTCCATATAGTCCTCAATTTACTTAATTGCATGATTCAGACTTCTTTAGAAACAGTAAGGTTGTATTAGAACTTAATCCTGAGATTAGGGCTTCAGCTATTCACTCTATTGTCAAATAAATGTTTGTATTTAGAGTCACAACCCCTGGTATGCCCAAATATGGGAGGAGGTTTACTGCTTCCATTCTCTGTCTATCGGCTCGTCACAAGAGACCATCCAGACAGAAACCCAATATTTTTACTGTTGCCTTTGTTACATTTGTGTTGTATTTGTGCTGATAAATAAATAAAGGGAGACTAGTATAGATCTATTTCAAGCTATTTAGCTCTCATCAGCTAGCCATACCCTTACTGGGATTAGAACCTGTGCTGTATTGCATTTTAGGTAGATGTGTTAACCCCTAAGCCACAAGGTTCTTCTCCTTATCAGCTGAGCCAGGGAAATAGGTATGTATTAGAGTCACAACCCCTGGTATAAATGTTTGCATATATGTCAAATATTCTTGATATATTTTATTGACAATTGATCTCTAGGGACAGCAATATTTAATATGCAATATACAACAATATATAACAGTTCACTGGAATTTAGAACACTTGAAAGTCAAAATTAAAATGGTGAAAAAAAATTGTCATAATTGGAATCCACATCAATAAGAGACAAGACACCTGCGTAGGAGTTAATTACAGTAAAGAGCTGTGTCTTTTGTGTGAATCAGGCGTTGTCTTGAATCTTTTTGTCTGAGAGTTTATTATAGATGAGACAGATCTGCCTGAAATGCAGACACTGTGTCCCTTGTGTTCTGCTTTTTGAAGATTTGATTAAAAAATAGGTTTTCCCAAAGAAATGTTTCTCTTTCCCCCGATTGGACCTATATTTTCAATGCCTTCCCAGCGAGAAAGGAGAATGCCACTGTCGCTTTTCATGTTCTTTAGTAGAGATGCCAAACTTTGGTATTCTCAGGCATAGAAGGCCAGCTTGGCAAATGGATGCACAATAGTTTGATTTCCCTCCGCCATTCTGTCTCCCTGGGACAGCCAAGGGATCTCTAATTTTTTCCCAGGATCTCTGTATACATGGGGTACTGATGAAGGTTGCCCATGGAAACTTAAGACAAGTTTTTGTTGAGTTTTGTTTTTAAAGCTATTTTGAGGAAATACAGCCAGTGGCGTTTCAAGCCATTTTTTTCCCATTTGGCTATGGTGATTATTTTTTTTCCATGACTAAGATTTTTGTTAAATGTTGTTTCAATTGAAATGCAATACTTCAAAATACACAAGACAATAACCTTTCTACTGAGAGTAAAACAAAGAGGTATGCCTTTAAATTATGGATTATATCTGGCAAACATTCCACCTGCCCTGGGAATATTTTAATTTTCAATAAAAAAGGACAATTTGTAGTATATAGTATATACTAATATTCTGTCTATCTATCCATCTCTTTCTCTCTCTGTCTATAAGTCCATTTCATTATACGTTACCATGTTAATGAAGGTTAGTCCAGATTTAATTATAAATAACAATTTATAAAACTGGGGAGGTAGCCTTCTAAAGTTATATCATGTCAATATTTCACATATATTTTTTCATTTATTCTCCCTATATTATTATTTATTTATTTTTGTTTATTTATTTATAAAATTTGTCGACTATCCATCTGACCATATGGTAACTCTGGGCATATTATAATCACAAATTATTAATGCTTGCTCTATGATTTGTGAATTATATTTAAGAAAAGTTTGAGTTTGTTTTCACATACAGTACAATATACACCTTTTGACACACACACACACAAACACACTAGTTACCCATTTCTAATAAATGCTACAAGTAAACTTCTCCAAAAATCATCTCTTTTTTATACATATATGGATTTTGCAAAGGTATACTTTTTGTATATGATATTCCTAAATAATTGCTGCTCCTCTCTTTGAAATTTTGACTCAAGGGAAAAAAAAACATAAGTGCAGTTCTGGATTGGAGAGTCTGATCTCACATTACAACCAACAAAAAATTATTGCTTTCCATGCCAAATTGGACCTCAAGATAGCATCCGCCAGGTACTTGGCACCCAAAATGGCACTCAAAACCCAACTGCTTGATCACAAAATGGTGACCATCACCTGTTTGGCGCCAAAAAAATGGCACCCCCAGTTAACTCTGGGGGATAAGACACTCTGGAGACTCCAACAGTTTTTGTTGGTTATAAGTGTGAGATGGTCACTAATTGCGAATCCTTGGGTCTAATTGGAGCTGCCCCTTCCATATCCACTCCAGCAGACTCTCTTTAGGCTTCCAGGTCTTCTGCAGTTAGGATTACAGCTAGTTTTCAAGGATAGAAAGTTAGTATTTGGGGCCAACTGCCTTGTTCCCTTGAATTGGAATTGACTGCCCTACCTCGCTAAGGCTTGAGACTTTTGGCCCAGGGACCAGTGGGTTTCTTGTTGCGGGCAAGGGACAGGCCCAGGCGTGTCTGTCTAGAGGGGCCACTATGGGTTCTCATATTCCCAGAAGCGGGGTCCTGTTGTGCCCTTAATTGGGATAACCACCTCCTTTGATTAACCTTAAGCAGCTGGTTAGACAGTTTTGCAGTATGGATGGAGGTGCAGGAGAGGCCTCATCCTCCTTGTTGGATGAACCTCTGGAAGGACCACCGACCCTTTGCCTACCCAGCAGGCGCAAGCTTCCTCCCCCTAAGAAGGGAGGCAGACCCAAGGGCAAGT